GTTGTCCATCCTCGCCTGAAACAGACGATTAGTGCCATGAGTTAGTGAAGCAAATTACAGAAACACTGCAGTTATTCACAAGTCAAAACGTTTTCATAGCGGCCGAGAATATCTAGCTAGCTAGATGTAGCTAGCTCGGGGCCGGTGTTAGCCTATTCAGCCTAGCATGGCTAGCTTGATCTACTGAGCAAATAAAAGTACATCTGAGACCATTATTGTGCAGATTAAAACCCCAGTGCATGTAGTTGATTTTACCTTCGTCGTGGTCGTCATCGTTGGCCACTGAATCCGCCGTTTGTAGTCCTGCCTGAGTTTCTTTATTTTTAGCCGGTGTGCCGTGGGGCTGTGCACGATTCCCAGGTCGAGTGAAAGCTACTGAACTGGCTTCAGTAGCATACGTCCTCGGCGTAGATCTCCAGAAGCGCCGACACCTCCTCATCATTTCTTGATGCTTGCCATAACTGCTTTCAAAAACAAACTACTCTCCGTCGGTGCGCTGGGTTTTTGTAGCGAGGAAAAACAATGGCGGCTCTACACAACATTTTCACAGTTGTACGGGGCGTGGTTTGCAATTCGCCCAGCCAATCAGCACTGGGGCACTTTTTACCCACAGGAAAGTACGATCTCTCAGCGGGCACTAAAAATGGGGGTAAAAGTTCCCGAGATTAAGTACGATTTTTGGTGTGAACGCGACATAAGGGGTACTAACGGAACTAAACGCGAAAAGTACGGTGAAAAGTACTCCGGTGTGAACGCGGCTAATGGAGAGAGAAAGATTATCTTTCGATCCCGTTTGAATTGTGCCACGAATTACACATATGATGTTTGTCAATTTAAAAGATAATTTTGCAAGTCAAAAAAAAAAAATGTGTCGTAAAACTGTGAAGTAACACATTTGTTTGTGTGAAACGCTCAATGAACTACATCTCTGGTCAACAACACACGTCACCAAGATGGCCGTCACTACTGTCTTGTCAACAAAACGATTGACTACCCTCACTATCACCACAATGAAACACGTCCTGAAGAATGTCATGCAAAGCTGCCTGCCTGCCTTCCTTTGATTCTCTCTGAACTGCCTGGTCGTTTTAATGTTTAATGTCAACCATTTGTGCAGATAGCATGAAGTAGAGAAGATCGCTAGCGTTAGCATTTCTCCCCCGGGCTTAAATTGTGTATTATAGAATGATCACACCGGTGTGACAGTACTCTTCAAAGGGTTCACGAAATATGACTACTACTCTTACTGTTTAACATTTTGGGTTACTTAATGTTACTTCATGTTAAGGCTAATACAAATGACAAGGCTGTAATGCTAACTAACGTGCTAGCTACTAGCTAGCTTGATCCAGACACTCCTAGTCCTTTCATCAGACGGGAAGCGAAAGAACGAGCAAGACCCATTGCTGGTATGTAACGGAGTAGTGTAACGCGTTACTTTTATAATTCAGTAATCACACTACAGTTACCAACATTGCCCCGACACGCGTTACTTCGTTACTTTTATAAAATCAGTCATAATCACACTGACAGACAAGAGGGGTTTCCGTGTTTATATGTACGTAATCTGCGCGACTTGCGCGTCCACATCTCCACGTGCAGTGCTGCATAAACATGGCTGAGTCAGCGATAACTTTCGAGGGGTGGAGGTATGCCCATTATTTTGAGTTCGTCCGAAGAATAGACAGGAATGTGACGGTGAGGTGCAAACTGTGTCCAGGCCAGAAGCTGTTATCCACTGCTGTAAAAACCACGTCAAACCTCAACAAACACCTGCAAAGAACACATGCTAAGGTGAAGCTAATAGCTAAGGACCCCCGAACCCAGAGTGAGGATGTTGTGAGTGCGCCGCCGCCGACTCCGAAGCAGCACAAATTAGAATTTGGAGGACCGGTAACCAAAGCAGAGATGGACAGGCTTGTAGCATCCTTCATAGTAGAGGTAATGTTGCCCATTTGCACAGTGGAATCACCATCGCATCGTTCAGAGATATACTGCGCAAAATACAGATAGCAGGAGACAGAGGACAGCCATAGTCAGAGCTATCTGGATCAGTCTTATGCGACAATGGAAACTGAACTAAAGAGAACATTTGAAACTTTAGCAGTCTGCGTGATCTGCCTGTAGGGAGGGGCGGGCCGGCCCTGCGAGTAAAGTAACGAGTAAAGTAACGAGTAAAGTAACGAGTTACTTTATGTAGAGAGTAACGAAGTAGTGTAATATATTACTTTTTTTTAAAGTAATATGTAATATGTAATATATTACTTTTTTTTAGTAACGACCCCATCTCTGTGCAAATCTGACAGTTCAAGCGCTAGCCAATCAAACCGCGTGTATGCTGGGAGAGACATACCGCAGGTCATTTCCTCATATTACAAAAAATGGAGGAGAAATTAGCGGTAGGGAATCACCCGGTGCTTTATGACCAGTCCCTATTTACCTACCGGGATATAAACCGGAGGAGCCAGGCATGGAGGAAGGTGGCAGAGATAGTGGTAGGTTTTCGCCTGTTTGGGGAGTTTATATCCAGTTTACTTCTGGCTTTTTTGCTTCGTATGTCGGGGGCGGGAGATTCATGTGATTGGTTGTTGGTGCCTTGCTCGCAAAAAATCCCCAAGCTTCAGATACGCCCACCTCCAAGATTTTTTTAACGCTGCTGTGTGGACGGGCCGTTAAAGGTGGGGTAGGTAATTTTGGAGAAACCAGCTCGAGTGCGCTAGATTTGAAAATACACAGCCGGAAAAAATCTGCCACTTCCTTACAGAGCCCCTCCTCCAACACACACGAACGTGCACATGACCAATGAGGGCACGAGATAAGTTTGTGCACAGATGGAAGGCTGACAGGCAGGTAGGCCATCCAGTTATTTTAGCCGGGCCGGCTAAAATGATTGGTCATGCTTTTTACAGTATTACGGCTTCCACAGATGAAATATTTTTAGGGATTTTTTGTCAAAGCACTTAAGATATTCATTGCTATCGGGATGTTAAGAGCATTCCATGGAATATAACAAAAAGTGTATCTCGAGCCGGTTTCTCAAACTTACCTACCCCACCTTTAAGAGTAAGAATGCTGCATAAAAGGCCAAACATTGCTCGTGGTAATGTTTATAATTAATGTCATTTTAAACCATCCACCTCAAAAACCAAACAAACATGTCTCTCCATGTCAGAGCCACCTGCTGAAGATCTCTTCATGTCACACTCACCTGACACATGTGTGTGCATGTGAAGGTGGATGCTTAAAACAGGTTCTACTTGTACTTTTTTTAAAGCTTTGTTTACTGCTTACAAGAGTAAGATTCTAGTTGCTGAAAATAAATAATTTATACAAAATTAAAATGTTTGCAAATGAGTGTAACTGCCTGGAAGGTAGATAGATTTACAAATCTAAATTTCCTTTGAAATCTTGATGGAAGTATGAACACAGGAATGAATAAAAGGAATCGTGAAAGGGTCCTTTGAACTTGATCCCCTATATTATATGGTTTCAACGTTCTGGCTTTCATTAATTTAATACAAATAAATGATTAAGTGGCATCTACTATTTTTTATCACAATGATTAATAAATCCAAGCTTTTGACCAAAGCTTTTGCAGCTCTCCTCAGCTCAGACCCAGACCCAGTCTTCCCGGTTGGATTCTTCCCAGTGTGCTTTACACTAGAGATGGCATTATAACAATATATGAAACAGTCATTTTTAAAGTCATTCTCTAATTAAGTAGAATTGTTTTTACTAATAGATGTAATAACATTTTTTATTTCAATAATACGTTATCCAAAAGCCTGTTTTTATATCCTAATGCTGCGTTCACACCGGACGCGATGCGAATATTCGCTTCGCTCTAATCGCTCCTATCGCATCGCTCTAAACGCTGGAGTTTCACCGCGGCTGCCAGCTGTGTTTACTCGCATCATTCAAACAAGACACGCTGGCTCGGGAGCTACAACTACAACAAATGAACATATTTTACCGTGATTAAATTGTAATACACGTTTCTAAATGATGCCGAAGTAACAACATACTGATACCGGTTAGTAACAACCATGCATTAATGCTTTGACAAGTCTGCAGACAAGACGGCACGCAAAACACCTTTTAAAATGCTTGTTTTCTGAATGAAGATCGGGTCGACCAGGCTAAGCTAACGTTGTATATGCTCATTCCACACTCATAACAACGTCATACAGACATAAATAAAGCAGCGACTGTATTCGCCATGGCACAGACAGTCTGTGGTTTGTACTTGTTTAACTTTTGTCCAGTTTCTGAACAGATATGAGGAGCTGTGAGCTCTGTGTGCTAACTGCTAACAGCTAACGGCTGATGTTGTGTGGTTGAACGTCAGTGACGGCGGCTGAGATCCTCACCGCTGATTGGCTTCCGCGAGAACGCGTCACGTGAATTTGACGCTCGAGTTGAAAAAATGGAACTCTCGCGTTTAACGCGGCACCGTTCAATCGCCTCAATCGCGTGATTCGCGCCGCGTCCACCGCTTCATGCGCGCCGTCGGAGCGAATTCGCGTCTGTCCGCGTCTCTGCATTGACTTTACATGTAATCGCGCCGCCCCCAAACATCGCATCGCGTCCGGTGTGAACGCAGCATAACAGTGTCAGTTTTATTTAATACGACGGCAAAGTGACAGTATATGACTGTCACTTTAAACAATAATAATTCCATGAATACATTCTGTTTCTTTTGCTCTTTGTGCAGAATCGTAACTTTGTTTTATCGATAATAAAAATAACTTTACTATTGAATCTGTTAAGATTGCTTAAGTGTCAAAAGTACCAACAGGCAATATTTGTACCCTGGTTACGAAATATTTAAAATAGTAATATAAATGATATATTAGCTTTTATATATTCATTTACTGTCATGTAAATGCTAAATATATCTCCCGCTGGCGAATGTTCATTTAGTGACAATATGATTTTTCTGCATTAAATTATGATAAAGTAGATAAATATAATATCATAGATAAACACAACCATGTGTATTGTATTTCAATGAATGTCTTCGATGTGTTTTATTTGAGAACAGCTTCTGTTAAAATAAATGACATCGATTCTCTTTTTGTAATGCTGGAGTCAGGCCAGGTATTAATCATATGTCATGCTGAAAGAAATGTAATTGTATACATTTTAAACAATAGGGAGGGTTAAACACACTGTAGTTTTCATGTACAAATATAAATAAAATGTAGGAATAAATACAAATATTGGCCATAAATACTCCAGGGTCCAGAATGGTCCATCTTCACTGCTCTGTATGTCAGGAGGGTTGGATTCCCTTAACGTTCTTCTCCATTTTGACTTCCCTTTTTTAAAACTCTTTCCCATATCCATCATGATCTTTTGGATCATTTCCACTTGGGAAGAACTGCCCGTCTCTTTCTTTAGTTCAGGCTTTTACTTTGTAATCCCCAAGCTGGCATTTAAAGCGGTTACAAAAAAGTTACTGGCTGTCTTTGATTCACTAGGCTGAACCAATTCCACTCTTTTGGGAAGTTAACAAATGTTTCCTTTACTTTTCCAAGTGCTGATGTTGTGTACATCCCAAACATCCCCAGCCAAAGACCCTCCACAGGGTGGAGGTGTCACAGTGTGACACACAGCAGGTGTTAGTCCATTAGCCAGTCTTTCCATGCAGCTACTGGGAGCCACATCAGCTCCACCTGTGCCGAGGTCTACAGAGGACATGATAGCTCCAGGTCACTGACGGGGGGCCGCAGGCAGCCCAGCACGTCCCCCAGAGAGAAGAGCTTCCTGCTCCCAGCCGATAGGGGCTTCCTGGATTTCTGAGACTGTCCCTCACCAACGAGACCAAGTCAGCTGTCCTGGAGAGGAAGAGCAGAGAGTCATTAGTATCTGGAATTATAGCCTTTCACTAAACTACTGTTCTTTCTGTTTAAATGGATGTCTCAGTGACAACACACATTAGAATATTGCTGTCCTGTATTAGAACATATGGTTTTCCTCATCAGCTCGCCCTTCACCTGCATCTTATCCCCTCATCAGCCTCATATGCTGGCACAATTGCCGGACCATGAACGTTGCAAAGTTGATCTACTGCTTAATTTGTTCTTTTGTTGTTTGTAACCTTCTTTGGCAATAAATCATTGATCTGAAGGAGTCAGCCTCAGCACTATGACTCCAGGCAGTGTCTTTCAAAACGTGGGTGGAAATATTGCTACCTTATTGTGCAGAGGACTTCATTAACACTCCAACAGTCCTCCCTGTTTGCTAACGTAGGCCTGTTAGCCTCCAACCTGCTTCCCCGCTAGCTCACCTCCAGTCTACTAGACTCCAACCTGCTAACCTCCAGCCTGCTAACTTACTGCTACCTGCAGTCTGCTAACGTTCAGTCTGCTAACCTCCAGCCTGCTAACTTACAGTCTGCTAACCTGCAGTCTGCTAGACTCCAACCTGCTAACCTCCAGCCTGCTAACTTACTGCTAACCTGCAGTCTGCTAACGTTCAGTCTGCTAACCTCCAGTCTGCTAACCTCCAGCCTGCTAACTTACTGCTAACCTGCAGTCTGCTAACGTTCAGTCTGCTAACCTCCAGCCTGCTAACTTACAGTCTGCTAACCTGCAGTCTGCTAACTTACAGTCTGCTAACCTCCAGTCTGCTAACTTACTGCTAACCTGCAGTCTGCTAACGTTCAGTCTACTAACCTCCAGTCTGCTAACTTACTGCTAACCTGCAGTCTGCTAACTTACAGTCTGCTAACCTCCAGTCTGCTAACTTACAGTCTGCTAACCTCCAGCCTGCTAACTTACTGCTAACCTGCAGTCTGCTAACTTACTGCTAACCTGCAGTCTGCTAACTTACAGTCTGCTAACCTCCAGTCTGCTAACTTACAGTCTGCTAACCTCCAGCCTGCTAACTTACTGCTAACCTGCAGTCTGCTAACTTACTGCTAACCTGCAGTCTGCTAACTTACAGTCTACTAACCTCCAGTCTGCTAACTTACTGCTAACCTGCAGTCTGCTAACGTTCAGTCTGCTAACCTCCAACCTACTTCTCTTTAAACCTAAACATCTCATTGTGTGATCAGCAATTTTCCGATCCTGGGTTCTAAAACCCTGGGTTCTAAAACATTCTAAAACATATGACATGACATTTGACATTTACTTTAAGAAGTTTCTATTTCCATGCTTGAAAAGGATTAATTTTATCATAATAAATACAGTAGTTTTTCCCTCACCTTAACTCTGTGTGTCCTCCCGTTCTGTGCGGGCTCTCCTGAGACCACTGACTTCTCCTGAGAGTCCACGCTGCACCTGGTAGGAACTGCCGGCTCGTTCTGGTTTTCCCAGCGGGCAAAGCCTTTATTTTTGGATGATTTTCTGTGAGTCCTGTATTTCATTTTTGGGAAGGTGTGGGAGCCGCTGTCTGTGGCCCCCCAGCTGTGTTCTGGCCATAGGGGATCAGTCTGTGTTGCCTGGCTTGCGGTGGCCCTCTGCAGGCGCACTGAGATCCTCTGGGCGGAGCCCGTCATCAGGGTGATGGACTGAGGGGCCAGAGCTGGTCCTGGTGATGGGACGGCTGGGAACTCAAACACCTCATCCTCATCTGAAGGAGAGAACCCAAGAAAATAATATAACATCATGTTTGATATCACTTACACATAGCTTTTTTAACTACTGGATTTATGAATCACCAAAAGGTGAAATGACCTTCACAGGTGGGCAGAGCCGGGCTGCTGGGCAGGGAGCTGTGGGTCAGTCTGGCTGGAGAAACATTTCCAAGAGAGCCGGAGCGGATCAGCTTCCTGCAGGCCAGAACCAGCAGCTCCCGACATTGTTTATGACAGTTTACACCACAGTCTGCAGAGTGAACACACACACATATTCAGGGGAATGTGCTCTAAGCTTAAAAAAAGGCAGATGATCTAAATTGCTCATAATGATTTATTTCATAATAGTCCATTACTTTTGCAGTCAGGTCATTTTAAATAGTTGTGCAAACCCTTTGAACAACCTAAAGTACTTTGGCAGAGCAAGTATGAGCTAACTGGGAATGCACCTTTGTAAATGGGAAGTGCATCTGTATATACAGGCCTATCCTTAGTGTGAGGGCCTTTTTGCACTTGAAACCATGGAAATATGCAATAACATTTGCAAAGAACTTAGAAGAATAATTGTTGCTGGTTCCTCCTTTGAAGCAATTTCTAAGTGACGGAAGTTCCCACTGTGCAATATGTACAGAAATGTAAAATTCATGGCACAAATGGACACAATAGTTTGGGAAGTTGGAGAGGGGATTTGTCCATTGGGCTGTACAAACCTTGGCCCAAAAGACTAATACACTTATAGACAAGAACAAAGCAGCTGGTTAAAGAGTTGGAGGCACCAATGTATCTAAATCTTTATATATACAGTCTATGATCTAAATCCACCATCGAGATTCAGTATCTTGAATCACCAAGGCCTGAACGACTGGGGTGCAGGCAAGAACTCTACAGCCTTTCAGCAACATTGGCACACACAAGCTAGTATGTTTGCACAGGATAACCTGGACAAAAAAGGCTTTTGGAGCAAGTTTCTCCAGATACATGAGACAAAACATAGTGTTTGGCATTAACCATCAGCTCAATATGTGGAGGAGGCTTTCTATCTGCAGCACAATCTTATGGAGTTGTGATGTTGGATAATGGACTGTTGCACTCCAGAAAATCAATGGCATCATGAGGAGGGAAAACTATCTGCAAATACTGAAGGAACATTTCAAGACATCAGCTAAAAATAAATGCGCAGCTTGGTTGTAAATTGTTCTTCCAGCAGGACAACAATCCTAAAACAACAAAAATGGCTGACAGACAATGCGGTAACAGTATTGAAACTACTACATCAAATTGACAATTTGTGAACAGAACTGAAAAGGAATGTACAAGCATTAACAAACATTCTGCCAGACAGAATGGGTCATTTATATCTTTGGGGTCTTCACTTTCCTGTAGTGTTATATAGGTTTTTGTACATGTCAACGGTTTTACTTCCGTAAAATAGTGATATCATGTAACACCCGAGCTTCTATTGGCTTGCGCTCAAACACATTGTAGGTGATAGGCTAAGGGGGCTCATTCCGCATTTCAGACGGTGTGAAAAGAGGTGCTGCATCACAGGCAGTATGAGAGAAATAAAGACATTTTGGAACATTAAAGCTTATAATCATGTCACAGTAGAGGCACTAAATACAGATATGAACCTGAAAATCTGAATAATATGTCCTATTTAACATTGCATACATTTAAAAATATACTGGATATACTGTAGGCAGCAAGATGAGCCTTAATTGACTTGTCTTTCGTAATGGCTGTTTTCTCTGTTGGCTTCAATAGAATAACGGCCTTACATTACATTACAGTAATCACAGTAAGTTGCATGTTGTGTTTATGGTCTTTACAGACGAATGCAATGAAACAATACCTTTGCACTTGTAGCCCTGTTTGATGATTCCCCACAGCTGCAGGTCCAGAAATGTAGAGCATGGGAATTAGGAACACAAAGCACAAAACATAACATAAGAAAATAAAAGCATGGAGGCATGTTCCACACTTCCTGCATCTGTGAGAACTCAATAACCAGGCACTGCTGCTGAAAACTACACATGTACCAGGCCATTAGTAATATAATCCAACCAAGCAGAGAGATCCAGTCTGTGGCTGAACTGGACACGTGTCATGACCCACATGTGGTCTTAATGCAGGCCGGTCACTAATTACAATATTTGCAATATTTACAATAATTACAATATTTGCCTGTTTATTGCTAAGAGAAGAAAAGAAGGCATGAACAAGTACAGTGACAGAATGTTAGAGATACACACAAATCCAGCACAATGTTCACAGAAGGTGGGCTTCAGGTATGTCATCTCCTGGAAGTTGTGGATGAAACCTGGACCCATCTTACACTGGAGCAGTGGGTTGGCCCGGAGGAAATACGCTATCATCTCGTCCTTACTGATCAGTCCGTCTCTGAGAGGAAGATAAGGAATAGAGAAAGAAAGACAAGACAGTGAGCAGGACATTAGAGAAGATCTTTAGATACCTTATTATTATCATATTATTTATCCAGGAGATTAAACTAAAATTACAGAGCAAAGGAGTGTTCCCTCCTTTCCATCTAACATGAGAAAACAAATCTATATTAAAGGAAACCTATCATGCTATATTTAAATGATATATTGTAGGGCCATACCTATATAAGGTATATTTATACGTTTCTGTTTTCAAAATACCAAACAGATCATGCATTTTAGCCATGCCTCATTTCGCTCTATGTGCTGTTCTCCAGCCCTGTTTTTGCAGGGGGCTGATTCTGTGAGCTGCAGCTGACCACGAGGGGAGCGTGCTCTGATCACGTCAGAAGAGGGGGAGAAAAATAGATCTCCGTCCTCCGTGTTTTATTATTTTATTATATAGAGTCGTTATTCATTTGTTTTAAAGCTCAATAAATAACAAAGAAGACCTTTGACCGGCACTTTTCTAATTTTGATTTTGTTGTACAGTTGTACAGATTTAAACTTTAACGGACATCTTGACCGGCGAACTGAAACTCTGCTGCACGGTCCCCTCGTTCCTTGGAAGAGGCGGAGAGGTGGGTGTTTGTCATCTGCTGGTGGACTAACCGGAGAGAATTACAGTGCTTGCCTCGACGGGGAGGGATTGCATTGAATTACAGCAGCAGGAGCAAACGCTTGCCTCGGCGAGGGAGAAAAAAAGCCACAGCGGAGAATAAACAGAAGGGAAACCATGGCCTCCATGCGCGGGAAGTCTTCTTCGCTGCTTTTGTGGCAGACTACAGCGCCACTTACAGGCCTGGCATATGTACTACAGCGTCTCCAGCGCTTTCGAGCGGCAATGGCCGGCCGTGGCCCAACCCCACATTCCCCTGATAGGTGGAGAGTTGGCCCAATAGCCGTAGCGCCACCGTCCTGACGTCAGGACAGTGTTCAAATCTGGATCAGTTTTTATCAGATCCGTTGCAGCCCCTTTTGTAGAGATTTGGGTATGGAGGAAAATAGAGAGGGTTGTGTTTTCTGACACTTGGTGAGTTCCCTGGAACACCGGGGACACATATTCATGTATAAAAGACGTACAAAAGTGCATTTTGCATGATAGGTCCCCTTTAAAGCAATTCCAATAACAGTTTTTACACATTTGATTCTGAAGGAGCACTTAGCTCTAAGCTCATCTTAAAGTCACTGTAAGCTACAGCTACTCTAAAGCCACTGAACTCATTGATATGTGGTGAAGGTTATCACACCACAATAAGAAAGAGTGGTTGTGGCTGGGGAACAGCTTTCTTGATGCAGATCACTTCTGGTTTTTTAAAAACAAGTTTGAAACTAAAAATGTTCCATTATTTGGAAAGTAGCTACACTACCCAGCATCCACTGGGAAATGAGGTTAAACTGCGTTGCATGCTTTGACTGCGATGGACTAAAACTACAGTTAAAAGTGTAGTTAATACTGAAGTGAATTATTTGAACATGTCCACTCACTGATCTTTGTCCAGAACGCAGAAGGAGTCCAGGAAGGGGAAATTAGCAGCAATGCTCTCAAAGTCCTCTTGAGAGATATAGCCATCATGGTCATGGTCATAATTCCTGAACACAGACTTCCCAATGACGAGACAAATAAATTAAAACACACATACTGATGTGAACCTGAAGATGATCAGAATATGTCCTCTTTCAGATTTATTCCAAGTCAAGACATAAAGACAAATCATAATGGCGGTATGAGGTCTGCGAATAAAAAAGCAAAAAGAAGCCAATGCTGTACTATAGAGTTAACTTTATTATGATAAATCCAGGACAGGAGAACAAGAAGCCCCTTTGTGACTGGCATAAGCATGTTTTGGAACTACTTTAGATTCATTTAAACACACACACACACACACACACACACACACACACACACACACACACACACACACACACACACACACACACACACACACACACACACACACACACACACACACACACACACACACACACACACACACACACATCTCTACATCTTTCCAATCAATGCATTCTGTAGGTATAATTTGAAGAGGTGTGTCGTCCACTCACATCCACCACCTTCCTGATGTGTTTGTTGACCACAGAGGGGTCCGGTTTGGTGGGGACCCCGGAGGCCCAGTCCAGAGGGACCAGGGGCTTGTTGGGAGTTGTTGGAGAGGTAGGCTGTGAGGAAGGACAAGGTACACAAACACAGGAATAAATTCAGCAAATAATCTGTTGCAGACCTAGATTTCCAATTCTCCTAATAGAGTGGTAGCATTGCCATGGCTCCCTCAACAAGAATACAAGTTTTTTTCATTTGTATTTGTATTATTGTAGTAAATAAACTCTCTGGGATATAATCTCCACATATTAACACCAATTTCTGAATGCAAATAGGAGAAGTAAAAAGCTAAGGTTTCTTTGTAAACAAACTACTCACGGTCACTTAAATTCACTTCACCATCGCTAAGCTGGTTCATTTTCGACATGATGACGTTTAGACGCCAGCTTCAGACCAGTGGGATATTTACTTATGTTGTAGAACAAAACGTGAAACTCTCTTCAGCTTGTGTTAACCACAAACCTTATTCCAGGCTAACAACCAAAAACGCATTCGAAAAAATATTGAATTTGAGACAAAGGAACATGAAATGGTAAAATGCTAATTCAAATACAGGTTTTAGTACTCATTCCTGCACCACTATATAGTTCCAAAGGAGTAACAAATGACAAATAATACAAATACACTACGACTCAAAAGTTTGGACACACCTTCAAATTAGAAGTTTTTTATTTATTTAAAGGTGGGGTAGGTAATTTTGGAGAAACCAGCTCGAGTGCGCTAGAATTTGAAAATATACAACCGGAGAAAATCTGCCACTTCCTTACAGAGCCCCTCCTCCAACACACACGAACGCGCACATGACCAATGAGGGCACGAGATAAGTTTGTGCACAGATGGAAGGCTGACAGGCAGGTAGGCCATCCAGTTATTTTAGCCGGGCCGGCTAAAATGATTGGTCGTGCTTTTTACAGTATTACGGCTTCCACAGATGACATTTTTGTATGGATTTTTTGTCAAAGCACTTAAGATATTCATTGCTATCGGGATGTTAAGAGCATTCCATGGAATATAACAAAAAGGGTATCTCGAGCCGGTTTCTCAAACTTACCTACCCCACCTTTAAATGTTGTCTATATTGTAGATTTATACTGAAGACATCAAAACTATAAAAGAACATATATGGAATTATCTAGTAAACAAAAAAGTGTTAACAAAAATCCAGAATATGATTTATATTTAGATGGCTACTGTGGTAGCCACGCTGGTTAAGTGTGCCTTGCATTTTGAATAAATCACCAACAGTGTCACCAGACACATTCAGAAGGCAAGTCATTCCACAAATGGACTCTTGACAAGGCACACGTGTTCATTGAAAACCATTCCAGGAGACGACCTCATGAAGCTGACTGAGAGAAGCCAAGAGTGTGCAAAGCTGTCATCAAGACAAAAGGGGGCTACTCTGAAGAATCTCAAATATAAATCATATTCTGGATTTTTTAACACTTTTTTGTTAACTAGATAATTCCATATGTGTTCTTTCATAATTTTGATTTCTTCAGTATTAATCTACAAAGTATAAACGTTTAAAATTAAATAAAAAACTTCGAATTTGAAGGTGTGTCCAAACTTTTGACAGGTAGTGTATGAACAATTATAAGTTGTCAAACAGTGCAAATCCTGAACATTTTAGCATACCTATAAAGTGTATCCAGCATGCACACAGTGTGGACAAAGCTGAACACAAAATACATTCGATCTGAAACTCACCAATGATTTGTGGTTACGTGGTTCCCTTAGTAATGACAACTCATAAATCTCATCTTCGGTGTAATAAAGGTCTAAAGAAAGCTGAAAACAAAAGGGTTTTGGATATCATTAGTTTAATCTATAAACAATTGAGTATAACACAGTAAGCTTTAGTTTAATGTATAGACTATTACATATTGATTAATCACACTGTTGGAAATATATAGCACTGATTTTCTTTTCTTGGATTACAGTGATGTGGTGCTCCTCCATTATTAGATCCAATACACAGAGCACTTCACAGTAGATTTGGATATGTTTTGTGATCTGGAGCGCAGTGACAGGTCCTGGGTGTCAGGTAGCAAAAGCGAGTGGCAGCTTTAAACTAGTTTTGGTCCGAGAAATCAGACCAGGGGCCGATGTCAAACATATATTTTTCTGGTTTGTCCTGTGGTGTTAAACCCATCTATTTTTGGGGGCTTATATTAGTTTTATGCAAGTTACAAAAAAAACGAAATACATTTCCGTCCTACACCCAGGCTAATGCTTTTATTTTTTGACCAACAAAACTATTCTGAGAAATATGTTTTGCTACAAAAATGCTTGACAACAGTTTTTAAATCCTTAAATCTATTTACTCCTCTTCCTCTCAGAAGAAGCTGTGCTGAATATGATTGATGTTGAATTGAAACAGAAACAAAAGAGAAAGACAGAGATACATATTTTTTTCTGTTGTAAATTTGATATTTGGCCAATTCCTTATATATGCACACACATTTTGCCAGCACACATTAAATGCTTCCCCTCAGGTTCTATGTGTGGAGGGGGGCCCTCACCGTCAGCAGGTAGATCAGGTCCATGTTGGGCTCCACTTGGGCCACCGCAGTCTGCAAGGACACCAACTCGTTGAAGGTCATGTAGAGCTGATGCATCTTCACCAGGTTCACCTCATTGCTGTCATGCCCCCAGTCAGGGAAGACCACATGCACTGCGATCAGGTCCTTCAGGTGCACCCCCAGGATGGGGGTCTTAAAGCCCTGGCACTCACTGAAGGCCTTCCGGTAGCAGGAGTAGTTGTTGTTGGAGGACACCAGCTCTGTCATTTCGCTCCACATCTGGTTTATTTAACGATCAAATGACAAAGTAAGTGTTGTGGCAATTTATGGAACATGCATACTGGACCACAGTCGCAGCTGATCAAATATCAGCTTTTTTAAGGATTACATATTTGATAGATCAATGAAGGTGAAAGGTCATGGGATTAGTCATGCAAATCCTTCTGCCACCTTGTGTCAACATTCTGTTAAAAACATCGTGTGGATTTCTGTGCTTACTGCAGCATTTCAGAATAGTTTGAGGATTCACTAGTATACCTGCCTGGAGGCAGCCTCTATGTGAGGAACTGTGTTTCGATGTGGCTGACTATCTACCTGTGAAGACTGTTGCTTCATAGATAACATGCCTTTATCTTTCATCCAAGTTCATCATTTAGGCTACATAATTGTTTTAACCAATTACATGATAAACACAACTTGAACGACCACATCACACTGATCCTGGCTACCTGTTGCTTTAGAATTGATTTACATTTTTTATTGATTAATCTTAAAGTCCTGAGAGGACTTGCTTGATCTTTTGATTGCGTTATGTTCCCTCGCATGCTGAGATTCTCAGAAGCTTTGTTCCTGGTCCTTCCATGGTTCAGATTAAATCACAAGGCAGACAGAGCCTCTCCACTCCGCTCATTTGCCCTTTCTCATTTATCTAATTCCCCTCCTCGACTCCCTTCCTCGACTCCTATCCTCGTGTCTTAGTCCCGCCCACAGGAGATGCGAGCGGAGGAGTCGAGGAGGGGAACCGAGGAGAGAGGAGGGGAAGCAGCAGGCGGTTAGAGAAATGAGAACTCCTCTCCTCTGAGCGGTCATTTTAAAGAGACGTCCATTAATGATGACAGGAGGCACAGCACTCTGTCTGATGGACAGATGTGTTCATGACCACTTATATATTTACTTTTAATTCATTCACAGTGCGGTATAATGAGACAATAACAGGCTACAGATGCGGACATATACACACACACACACACACATATATATTTATATATATATTTATATAATATATACAATTTCAGATTCAAACAAGTATGAGAGCACTCTCATAATAACGTAACACTATCAGACTTATAGTCGCCACAATGAGGAAATGAAATTACGGGCCAAAAGTTTTATTTACAAGTATTAAAAGTAAGCATAGGACACCAATCCAACTGAGACCTGTCTGTCCGCCGCATCTACGCACACGCACACACACACACACACACACACACACACACACACACACACACACACACACACACACACACACACACACACACACACACACACACACACACACACACACACACACACACTGTACCACATGCACCCAGGGCCGTCCCTGGCCAACATGAGGCCCCACGCAAAGTTATATGATGAGGCCCTCTGTTTCGCAGAGGGCCTCCCCCCCCCCCCCCACTAGCGGGAGCTAGTGGAGCCTCGCAGCGGCGAAACCGTGCCGCGCCACACTAATTGCGCCGCATTTTCGGCTCAGTTGAGGCACCCTCCGCAAGGTGAGGCCCCACGCAGTCTGCATGATCGGCCTGTAGGGAGGGACGGCCTTGCACGCACCTACACACTGTACAACACGCACCTACAAAAGCATATCATATATATCAGGATACAGCTGTGTATTTTATTATGTGAAGCACTAAATGGTTTTAGAAAAATATCGACTCTTTGTTTGTAGATATCTACTAAACTACAGCATACAAATAAAGAGAGTAATGTAGGCCTGTTATACTGAGTGATATATATTTTACAAACAAGAAGTGACTTTTTCGAACGAAGGACGTATATCCTGACGGGAGCTCGTAACTGCGTCACGGAGTTAGCCAGTGAGCTAGCGGAGATGGATGAGTTCGGGAGGATGGGAGTGAAGCAAGAAAAGAGTGACGGAGAGGAAGATGGAGCATGCGGGTGGTCGAAGGACATGAGTACGGAGTTCAAGAGTGCACGGGAGATGAGAGAGCGCCTGAGAGAGTCTGCGGTGAGGATGGCTAGAGACTCAGCAGCGTTTCGCGCCATTGACATTCGGGATGAAAACAACAATGGCGGCGCCCATCTGGATGTAAACAACAATGGCGGCGCCCAGCAACCAGTAGCAGCCGCGTCCGTGAAAACACCCAAGTACTCGGGTAGGTCGGACTGGGACGCTTTCCATGCCCAATTTGAACTGCTAGCACATGCAGGGGGGTGGTCAATAGAGACTAAAGCGCTACACTTAGCTTTGTGCCTACAGACGAGGCTCTATCATGCCTGCTACTGCTTGCTAACGACTCGGAAAGCCTGACGCGGTGGGCGTATGCACAAATGCCACCCGGAGTGCAGAGTGAGCTGGCGTGGGATCAATTCATCAGGGCCCTCCTCCCTGCTGACTTGAGGGTCGAGGTACAGCTGCAGCATCCACAGTCCTTGCAGGCGGCCTTGGAGATGGCTGTGGAGAGAGAGAATGTGTGGAGTGTAGCTGCTAGGAACAGCGAAGGGGCGGGTCGACCGGCTGTGAGGAGCTGCAGAGAGGAGGAGAAGCCTGCATGGGATGCTGAAATGACTGAACTGATAAGGGCTGTGTCTCTGCAGCCAACACGCAGGCCAAGTATCAGGGTCTGCTGGGGGTGTGGTCAGCCAGGACATTTGGCCAGAGACTGCCCCAAGGCACACCGGGCCCAGGGAAATGACGTGGGGCCCGCATGAAGGGGAAGATGCGGAGCCAGGCCCAAAAACCCCCCAACCAAACCACAGCCTTATTGCCACCAACACAGACATCCGAGGAAGGAGCCCGACAGCACAGCCGGGGGAGCCAGACTCTACTCCCTCCTGAAGAAGATGACAGCACATGCTAGGAGCCTGTCGTTGCGGTGGGCCGTGCTGGTGGTGGGGATTCCTGTTAAGTCCCTGTCACTGTGGAAGGGGTGCCCTGCACTGCACTGGTGGACACAGGCTCGACAGTAACCCTGGTGAGAGCAGATGTGTTGCCCAGTGGGACTCAATTTGAACCTACAGCGGTGCGTCTACTCACAGTCACGGGAGAGCTGGCACCTATGAAAGGAAAAGGCATGCTGACTGTGTCGGTGGGGGGAGTTAAAGTGCAGCATCCAGTGTGGATAGCAGAAGTGCAGGACCCGTGTATTCTGGGTTTGGACTTTTTGAGGGAGACTGGTTGCCATCTGGATCTTCAAACAGGCACAGTGAGTCTCCACGGGGGGGCCTGTGATCACTATTACCCGTATCCACACTGCTGAACCTTCTGGGAGACCCCCTACGCACCCAGTGAGTACCCTAGAAACTGCAAAGAATCCTCCCTCCTTGCCTTTATCCCCGGTGACGCCCACTCAGGGCAACTCCGCACCTGTCACCCCCGGCCTGTGCCACCCAGTCCCAGCCCCCCCCCAGTTACCCCAGACTGGAGTATTGGAGGTGTGGAGGAAGAACTGTCGCGGCCTTAATCCCGAGCAGCAGGAGCAATTTTGGCAGCTGCTGCTAGAGTTCCAGGGCAGTTTCGCCATGAGTGAGGAGGAGGTGGGCCGAACTCATCTGGTAGATCACGAGATTGATACAGGAGACTCGCGCCCCGTCAAGTGTCGTCCTCGCCGACTTCCCCTGGCCCGTCAGCAGGCTTGTGACGAAGCAGTGCAGAGCATGCTGCAGGCAGACATCATCGAGCCCTCCGACAGCCCGTGGGGCAGCACCTGTAGTCATGATCCCAAAGAAGACAGGTGGTTGGCGGCTGTGCTCAGACTACAGGCCGGTGAACGGGGTCACCAAGAAGGATTCATACCCCCTCCCCCGCATCGACAAGTCCCTGGACCTGGTCTCGGGGTCGTCTTGGTTCTCTTCCTTGGACCTCCGCAGTGGGTATTACCAGGTCCCTCTTGCCCCAGAGGCCAGACCAAAAACTGCTTTCTGCACCGGGCGGGGACTGTGGCAGTTCAAGGTCCTCAGCTTTGGACTTTGTAATGCCCCTGCCACCCTTGTGCAGTTGATGGACAGGGTACTGTTTGGTATTCCCCGTCAGCAGTGCTTGGTTTGCCTGGACGACATTCTGGTGCATGGCAGCTACACCCAGAGAAGTGCCATTTCATGCAGAGAGAAGTCACTTTCCTGGGCCACAAAGTGGGGGGCGAAAGGCATCGGCACCCTGCAAGAGAAGGTCGCAGACTGGCCTAATCCTCTCAACCAGAAGCAGCTGAAGAGTTTCCTGGGCCTGGCCTCGTACTACAGGAAGTTTGTACGGGGTTTTGCTTGCACTGCTGCACCCCTGTTCCAGCTGCTACAAGGACAGTGTTTTTGTTTGGATTGAGCAATGTCAAGCAGCATTTGACAGCCTTCGGCGTGCCTTGAGTGAGGCTCGGTTCTTGCCCCAGCCAACCCCATTCTGCCATTCACCCTGGACACAGACGCTAGCGGCGTGGGTGTAGGAGGAGTGCTCTCCCAGACTACACCAGAGGGGGAGCGGGTGGTGGCGTACTTCAGCCGGGCGTTCAACAAAACTCTTGGCAGTGGCGCTGTCCATCAGGGACTTTAAATACTACCTGTGTGGCCAGGCGTTCACGGTGAGGCCTGATCACTCTGCACTACAGTGGCTCATGACATTCAAGGAGCCAGAAGGGCAGGTCGCCAGGTGGTTAGAAGAGCTCCAAGCTTTCGACTTCAAGGTGGAGCACCGGGCTGGGGTGCGTCACACCAATGCAGACGCTCTCTCCCGCCACCCGTGTGCCGCCGACGGATGCCACTACTGTGAGAGGAGAGAGACTCGTGAAAAGGTGCTGCTGGAGGAGGACACCGTCTGTGCTGCAGCTCGACAAGTTGAAGAGGTTATTTGCCGGGAGCTCCAGACAGTGGACGTGGCAGAGTGGAAGCAACAGCAAGAGCAAGAGCTGGACACGCACCTACAGCCTGTGCTGCAGTGGGTCGAGGCGCAGCAGCAGCCACCGTGGGAGGAAGTGGCAGTCTTCTCCAAAGCAACGAAGGGGCTGTGGTCACAGTTTGAGGCTCTGCGCCTGTGTCAGGGCATACTGCAG